AAAGTGGTTATCTGGGTCAGGCACAGTGGCTCACGCCTGTAATCCCAGCACTTTGGGAAGCAGAGATGGGCAGATCACTTAAAATCAGGAGTTTGAGACCAGCCTGGCCAACACGGTGAAACCCGGTCTTTACTAAAAATACAAAACTTAGCGGGTCATGGTGGCGGATGTTTGTGATCCCAGCTACTCAGAAGGCTGAGCCAGGAGAGTCACCTGAACCCAGGAGACAGAGGTTTCAGTGAGCCAAGATCATGCCGCTGCACTCCAGCCTGGGTGACAGAGCGAGACTCTGTTTAAAAAAAAAAAAAAATGGTTATCTGCATCCTGGTTAAAATCAGCACCACCGCATCCCACACAGGGAACGTGGACTTGCTACACAGGGCCTCCTTGCTCCATAGGCCTGGAGGCAGCTGCTTCGGAAGGAAGGTGGTGCAGCTGGTGGCAGTGGAGGGCTCCCTGCAGTGACGAGAGGGTGCAGGCCCATCCAGAACCCTGGCCCAGAGGAGAGCCCCTACTGACCCCTACTGGCCTGCCTATGGCTGTTTCTGTTTTGAAATTCAGTATCCTTGTCTCCAGAGGGAATGGGCAGCCCTTCCTGGGGGGCAAACACCAGTGGAGGCCTGCACCGCCCGCCTCTCTGGACCTCAGCTGGTTTTATTTCCATGCCATGGCAGGGGACGGGCAGATGCTTTTTTCCTTCTCCCTCATTGCAGCAAGACTTTACATACTGCCACAGCTTCGCCCGAAGAAGAGGTGGCCCCGGCCACGCCTTGACTTCTGCCCTTTCCCTCACCCTGTATTAAAGGGCTGCACCATCCTGGTGACTAATCGCTGTTCTGTTTCCTCTTGTGTTTGTAGGATGAGCATGTACAGGAAGTATAAAGGTGAAAGTAGCTCCCTAGTAGCCGGTGACAGGGAGGGCCATCAGACAGGTGCTTACTTCCTTCCCGGATTACTTTTCCAGGGGACACCCAGACGTGGCAATAGCTCTTGGAGTTTTGGGCTGACGTAGCAGGAGCTGAAGCCATGATGTCATGTGTCCATGTCCTTAGGACAGTGTTAAGTGGGGGAAGCTGCCCCATCCTGCATGCTAGGTAGGTGGTAGGCGTGTTTGCCAGCCCGCTGGTTGAGTAACATAAACACCAATGGTTTTGATGGTTTCATGTGTTGTGTGATGTAAGCAGATGCCGCACAGCAGAGCCAGAAGGCAGAGAATCCTGCTTGCAGTAACAGAGGAACTAAACAGCTTTTCTTCTTTTTTTTTTTTTTTTTTTTTTTGAGATTGAGTCTTGCTGTGTGACCAGGCTGGAGTGCAGTGGCGTGATCTCAGCTCACTGTCACCTCCACCTCCCGGGTTCAAGCAGTTCACCTGCCTCAGCCTCCTCCCGAGTAGCTGGGACTATAGGTGCACGCCACCACCCATTCCCAGCAAATATGTTGTATTTTAGTAGAGACAGGGTTTCACCATGTTGGCCAGGATGGTCTCCATCTCCTGACCTCGTGATCTGCCCGCGCCCAGCCTAAAACAGCTTTTTACAAAATGTTTGCAGGCCAGGCATGGTGGCTCAAGCCTATAATTCCAGCACTTTGGGAGGCCAGATCGGGAGGATTGCTTGAGGCCAGGTGTTCGAGACCAGCCTGGGCAACACAGGGAGACCTCAAAAAAATTTTTTTATTACCTGGTTGTGGTGGTGCACACCTGTAGTCCTGGCTACTCAGGAGGCTTAGGCGAGAGGTTCCCTTCAGTCTGGAAGTTCAAGGCTACAGTGAGCTGTGATTGCACCACTGCTCTCCAGCGTGGGCAACAGAGCAGGACCCTATCTTTAAAAAAGAGAAAAAAAAGCCGGGTGCGGTGGCTCAAGCCTGTAATCCCAGCACTGTGGGAGGCCGAGGCAGGTGGATCACGAGGTCAAGAGATCGAGACCATCCTGGTCAACATGGTGAAACCCCGTCTCCACTAAAAATACAAAAAATTAGCTGGGCATGGTGGTGCATGCCTGTAATCCCAGCGACTCAGGAGGCTGGGGCAGGAGAATTGCCTGAACCCGGGAGGCGGAGGTTGTGGTGAGCCGATATCGCGCCATTGCACTCCAG